GAATCCTACGGGATTACTCGCACACATTGACATGCATGGGAACCCGCTTCCCAGGAGAGCCGATACCAGAGAAACGCCACGCTCCTCGATAGACGTCGTTGGGCCTTAGCGGGCCCAGCGAGGACGCCGAGAGCGCTGCAGCCGCTGGCGCAGCCGGGGCTGCGGCTGGCGCTGCCGAGGCCTCAACTGGAGCGGCGGACGCGGCCTGGCCAAGTCTAAGAGCAAGCATAGGGTAGACCTTTTACATTCCATACACGCCCCCCCGTTCGCCGTGGTCCTACGTTTTTAGCTAAATCAACCCTTCCAACCCTGCAATACACAAACAACAACCTACACAATAATCCCTAAAACAACCTCGAAAAAAAATCAACTCACCACAATCAACACAACGATCCGAAACAGAAACCTTAAACAGGAAGCACCCACGCAATCCTTAACCTTATCCGTTCTTTGATCAATGTCCTATAAGGAGGTATGGGATAAGACCCCCTGATAGAAAATCTCCCTGAACCTCATAACCCTGAATTCGGAAATGCCCATGATTTACAACGTTAACTAAATAAAGTTCTTTAGTAAGATGCTACGTGTTTCTATGTTAGTGAACTTTCAAAAACTCATCTCTCTCTTTCTCTGCTATGTCAAATTTTACTTTTTATGGAAATTCCGTAAGTTTTTCAGCTGGCAAAAATATTTCTTCTCTTAGATGTTCTCATATTCTTCAGCATTGGACGGGGTGAAACAACCATGAACACACGGCCTGACTGAACTTTTCCTACCAGGCAAGGCAGAGCGACTGACCTAAAGTGATTAGCAATGATCGCATCGTTTTTTCTCTGCCGATCTCGAGCTTTCCGCTGCACGTAGCAACCAGCAGTACCTCTGGCAAGTTGACCAATCGGTTTCAAGCGATCCGCACACACGATGTCCATCGAAGAGAGACAGAACCGGCCTTTTCAGTTTTCCATGTCCTCCTCTCCGTCGGAACTGAAGCAAACCGAAATCACATGTTGAAGGGAAGTCGTCAGAAGCTCTGGCCTGCACCACATCATTATCGGACAGGTTCGAGCTGGAGATAGTCTCCTCGGACAGCTCCGAAATACTGCCGTCACCAGGTACATCACTAGTATCACTGGCATCGACAGAACCTCGTCCCCAACTCCAACTGGAACATCGCCGCCGATCAAAAGCTGCACACGATCGCCATCTAGCAACGGCAACTCGTTTGCTAGTCGAACACGGATGCGCCAAGCTTCGGTTCCCGTTCGAATTTCGCAGGCCGCGCTGCTGGACGCCGTTTCATTCCAGACTGCTTCTGCTTCGATGGACATGACGGCTCCGATCTCGCAGCGGGCTTACGTTCTGCACGCGATGCTTCTCGACATGACAGCTCCGATCTGGCAGCGGGTTTGCGTTCTGCACGCGATCCCTCTCAGCTCATCTCCGCCGAAGCACGAGAAGAGTTTGCAAATCTTCTGGCACGATTGTCAGCCGGTGACAATGCTGAGCATGCAAGGCCATGTCTGTCATGATTGCTTCGGCTGATGCTTCAAGTGCCAGCTGCAGAGCGAGGTAGGCATCGCTCCCGAGCTTGCAGACAGCCTGCAATTGCTCGTCACCCTCGAGTTTCTGCAAAACAGCAGCAAAAACATCGCGAGATAGTGGCTGGAAAGGTTGCTGAGGGCTGACCGGGGAAGATCCTTTGTCATCTGCTGCACGGCAGAGCTGAGCTGATGGCAGATCGTATTTTTTTTGGGTGAATCTGCAGCGGATTTCTCCCCCTCCGCTGCAGCCGCCACTAATTTCATAGCGCCTCGGCTCTCACCGGAGCATTTACCGCCCAGGACCGTCTGGCTCCGGCTTCGAACAACGGACGTGCACGATCAGGATCCATGACCTCCAATGCTTCCATGTCGCCGGTTTGCTCATCTGCCATTGGCTTTTCGTTGTCTTCCTGGCAAACCCAAATGAGAAAATGCGGGGTTGACAAGTTTTCCGACCTGCGCAAATAAAGGCTGGTCACCTTCGGGATCCTTGCGCCCGGACACGCATTCAGATAAGTCATCCTTTGTGGATGTCAGGGTCTGGGAGCCGTGTTTTCGTCTTCTCCAGCGTAGACCGGAGCGAGCCACAGCATCTGTAACCCTCGTTTTCTTCACTGCAGCGATTCTCACTTGAACCGATGTTGAAGTGGGCCGCAGCATCTTCGACAGCAGAAAATCTGCTGCTGTGTGCACCAGCTTCTATTGCTTATTCTTCGGAGTGTTTGCAGCAGTCGGCAAAGACTTCTTACCAACACAAATACCAGCTTTGGCGACCGTCAGCTTGTAATACAACCCAGCGTCCGACTCCATGCCCAGAAACTCATACACGGTTCCACGATTCTCGAAGCATGCAGCATCCGGAGCATTTGTAACCCCGACAAACTGATCTCCAGCACATGCTCGGCTGAAGTACGGGCTGCGAAAAATTGACAAGCTTTTGTTGGGGCTAGGCATGTCGCCGCCATAAGCGCACTGCTGCCCTCAAATGGGCTACTCCTTTTGGAGGATTCGACTGCCCATTCTCCACGTGCTCGTACTTCAAGGAGCGCTTACCCCGTCCGGGCGAGACCCGAGGCTTCCGAGCTGGCTTGTCCTGACCCACATGCTCAGCTGTCACACCTGCTGCACCCCTGCTTTTTTTTGGCATGTGTGTAGGCAAACATGAACGTGGCAAGCAGCAACATTATTGTGCCAGTTCCTAAACCTGGGCCAACTGGACGAAGCGCATGCTTGGGCCAACTGGACAAAGCAAGCAAGGACTTAGGAAATGCATAACAGCTGCTCGCCGGCCTTTCTCTTCCTTCTGGACGACATCCCTTCGTGGCTCGAGCCGAGCCGTGGCCAATCGAACAACGAAGCACAGACACCAAAACTGCAATATGGTATGTACGAGGGACTTGATTCTGTTCATAGTTAGCTTGCACATGTTGTGGTAGGACATGGTAGGACCTCCCTGTGCTCAAGCATTCCATGGTTTCTTTCTCACCAAATTCCAACATAAGAGATGCATGCATTCTTCTATTTCCGACTTGCTTAACTAACATAGGCCTGTCAGAAAGACTGGCAAACATCATTTCCAAAATACACATGCATCACAACATCGGATACCAGTACCATACACTTACCATCAACATATTGACATTGATACAAGACCATAAACGAATTGATACATACATCCCAGCAAGCTCCCAACTT